AAAAATCAAAAAGAAAATAAGACATTTCCAGATAAAAACTCAGAGAATGCTTTGCTAAACATATGTCCTACAAAAAATAATTATAGGAGGTTTTCCAGTTTTCCATGCTAAAAGAAAAGGACACTAAATAGTAACTCAAATCTATGCGAATAACTGAAGAGTACTAGTAAGGATAACTACATAGGTAAATATAAAACATGTTTAAATATATTTGTATAATTTTTCTTAGCTACTTTAAGACAATATTGCATAAAGAAATTAATTATAAACTGCTGATAGACATAATGTATACATATGAAATTTGAATGATAATAATGACACAAAGGAAGATTTAGGGAATGTAACCATATTAAAGTAAATATTTTTTAAACTATTGAAATTAAGTTTTTGTTAACGTAAATTAGATGCTTTGAGTTAAGATAATTGTAATGTCCTGGGAAATGCCTATAAAAATAGTTAACAGCAACAATAATGAGATTAAATTGTACACTAGAAAATATCTATTAATACAAAAGAAGGCATAATGAAAAAAACAAAGATATAAGGTAGATTTTACGTCTTCCAGTTTTTGCTTGTTTTCTGTATGTCATATATCTTTGTTTTTTCTTAATGAAGTCTAGTCAGCTTCTTGATGATGACTCTGGCTGGATCACTCTTTAAAATCCCTTTTGCTATTCTATACCTTTTGACTGGGGGTTTTACTCCATTCACTTTTAATTTAAAAAGCCCAATGCTAGTCTCCTACGCAAACAAAGACCAAAACAACAAATAATTAACCACACATCAAAGAGTACCTAAAGGAGAACATAGGAATTTAACAAATAAAGTGATAAAAATCACCTGAAGCATGGAAACATGGGATGGCAGCATAGAAAGGGAGGCAAAACACATGACTAGGATATACTTGGAGCCAAGAAGGACCCCCTGTTGTGGGAAAAAGGTAAGCAGATTCCTGGCAGTCCCCATTGACATCATGAATACATGTGATCCTAACTATAGGAGAACTTCACAGTACTCATAGTTCCTGAGCTCAATATAGTAACTGCCTGGAGTCAATGCAGCTACATTGCTCTTTTGTGTATTGATATAAAAAATAGACACATAGACCAATGAAAGAGAACCCAGAAATAAATCAACATTTTTAGAGACAACTGATTTTCAACTAAGGTGCCAAGAACATATATTGTGGAAAGAACAGTCTCTTCAATGAATGATATAGGCAAAACTGGATAGCAATAAGCAATAAGCAGAAAAAAAAGATGAGACCTCAAAATCACAAGAAACATAAACAAAAAACAGCTAATGGAATTTTATCAAACTAAAAAGCTTCTGCACAGAAAAATAAACAATCAACAAAGTGAAGACACAACATGTAGAATGGAAGAAAATATTTGCAAACTAATTATCCAAGAAGGGACTAGTATCCAGGCTATAACAGAAACTCAAACAGCTCAACAGCAAAAACACCAAATAATTCAATTCAAATATGGGCAGATAATCTGAATAGACATTTCTCAAGGAAGCCATACAAACAGCCAACAAACATGAAAAAATGCTCAACAACACTAATCAGCAAAATGCAAATCAAAACCACAATGAATTATCATCTCACTTCAGTTAGAATGGGTATTATCAAAAAGACAGGCAATAACAAGTGTTGGTGAGGAGGCAAAGAAAAGGGAATCCTTATTCGTGTCGAGAATGTAAATTAGTATAGCTATTGTAGAAAACAGTATGGAGGGCCCTCCTGCATATACTGAAATAGAACTACCATATGATACAGCAATCCCAGTGCTAGATATATAGTGAAAAAAATAAAAGGAAATCAATATATGGAAGAGATCTCTTGACTCCCATATTTATTGTGGCACTACACTATTTATAATAGCCAAGATATGAAATCAATCTGTGAGTTTATCAGCAGGTAAATGAATAAGGAAAATGTGATTGTGTGTGTGTGTGTGAGAGAGAGAGAGAGAGAGAGAGAGAGAGAGTCCATTTTGCATCGCTATAAAGAAATTCCTGAGACTCAGTAATTTACAACAAGTTCATTCTGGCTTATGGACTGTAGACTTTAAAAGATGCTTGGCACCAGTATCTGCTTCTAGTAAGGACTCAGGAAGCTTTTAGTTATGGCAGAAAGGAAAGGGAGCCAGCATGTCACATAGTGAGAGAGTGAGCAAGACAATGAAAAGAGGGAGGTTCCAGACTCTTTTTAACAACTAGATATCTTGTGAACAAATAAAGAACTCACTAATTATTGCAAGGAGGGCATCAAGCCATTCATAAGTAATCTGCCCCCATGACTCAAACACCTCCCACTATTGCCCCATGTCCAATATTGGGGATCACATTTTGTACCAGTCAGGGTTCTCTCGAGGGACAGAACTAATAGGATATATATAAATATATATAATATATTTATTTATATATATATATATGAGAGTTTATTAAGGAGTATTGACTCACGAGATTGCAGGTGAGGTCCCACAACAGGCCGTCTGCAAGCTGAGGAGCAAGGAAGCCAGTCTGAGTCCCAAAACCTCGAAAGTAGGGAAGCTGACAGTGCAGCCTGCAGTCTGTGGGTGAAGGCCCAAGAGTTCTAAAGCTGAAGAACTTGGAGTCTGATGTTTGAGGGCAGGAAACATCAGCCCGGGAGAAGGATGTCAGCCAGAAGACTAAGCCGGTCTAGTCCTTCCCCATTCCTCTGCCTACTTTTATCCTAGTCACATTGGCATTAGATGGTGCCCACTCAGATTGAGGGTGGGTCTGCCTCTCTCAGGCAACTGACTCAAATGTTAACCTTTTTTTGGCAACACCCTGACAGACACACTCAGGGACAATACTTTGCATCCTTCAATCCAATCAAGTTGATATTCAATATTAACCATTACACATTTCAACATGAGATTTGGAGGGAAAAATATCTAAACTATATCTATCTATTTATCTCTACAAAAATTGAATACTCTTCAACTATAAAAAAGAATGAAATCTTGCTGTTATTTGCAGCAAGATAGATGAGCCTAGAGGGTATTGTGTTAAATGAAATGAGACAGGTACAGAAATATAAATACTGTATATTCTCATTCATATATAAAAGCTAAAAATTTTGATCTCTTAGAAGTAAAGAGTAGAATAGTAGTTACTAGAGGCTGGGAAAAGTAGAGGGTGGGGAAATTGGGAGAAGTTGGTTAATGAAAAGGAAATTGCAGCTAGATAGGAGAAATAAGTTCTAGTGTTCTATAACACTGTAGTGTAACTATAGTTTTAGTAATTTACTACGTATTTTCAAATAGCTAGACCAGGGGATTTTGATATTCCCAACATATAGAATTTATAAATGTTTGAGGTGATAGATATCCTAATTATCCTGGCTTGATAATTACACATTGTATATATGTATTGAAATATCACACTGAATTCCATAAATATGTTCAATTATGTGCTAATCAACAATGTGAAAAAATAACCTAGTCTTACGCTGTCTGCAAGACATACACTTCAGATTTAGACACAATAATTTAAAAGAAAAAGGATGGGAAAATATGTACCATGCAAATAATTACCAAGCAAAAGTTTTAATAGCCATACTGATAACGGATAAAGCAGACTTTAAGACAAAAATTGTTACTGAAGACAAATAGAGAAATGTTATAATAAAATGATTAATCATTAGTAAAATATAATAAACACATGCACAAAACAACAGAGACTTAAAAACATAAAATAAAAACTGACATAATTTAAAGGGGAAATATACAATTAGGGAATAATAATTGGTGTTTCTAATACCTCATTTTTAATAATGAATAGTGTTATTAATTAATGAGTAGCATATACAAGACTTCAACAGTACCATAAACCAACTAGACCTAAGAGACATCAATAGAACACCCCACCCAACAAGAGAAGAATACACATTCTTCTCAATTATATAAATACATTCTCCAGGATAGATCATATTTTATGTCATAAAACAAGCATTGGTAACATTCAAAGGATTGGAATCATACAAATTATATTTAATAAGCATGATGTAATTAAATTGAAAATAAAAAAATAGAAGGAATTTTGGGGAATGCCCAAATATTTGGAAGTAAAAATACACTTCTAAGTAACTCAAACTTCTAATAATAAATCATATGGTAAATTAGAAAATGCTTTGAGATGTATAAAATAGAAACAAACTTACCCAAATTTATGGGTGCAGTAAAGCAGTTCTCAGAGGGAAACTGCTATATTAAAAAGGAAGAAGCCTCTCAAATCAATATCTCACCTTAAGAAACTACCCATCCTAAGATACATACAAATATTTGTAAATGTCCATTATAAACAGAAATATGTAAGAGAAATTAATTAGTTTCGATGAAAGGGACAAATTTCCCAAAAACTACAAACTACCCAAGCTGACTCAAGCAAAAAATAAGAAACTCAAATATACCTAAAAGTGATAAGGAGTCTGAATTAATAAATTTAAATTTTCCCAGAAAAGAAAGCCACAGATCATATAGTTTCAATGGTAAATTCTCACAAACTTTTAAAGACGAATTAATATCATCCTTAACAAATTCTTCCAAAACGAGAGGGAGAGTGAACATTTTACTGCATATTCTATGTACTCTGATATCAAAGGAAATTACAAAGAAGGAAAATCACAGACCAATATATTAGAAACATAGACATAAAAATACTAGCCAATTAAGTCCAGCAACAAATAATTGCATGTTTTATGCAGCTATACATCATGATCAAGTGGGGTTTATTCCAGGAATGCAATATTTGCTTAACATGTAAAAGATAATAAATGTAAGACGCCTTATCAACAGAATATAGGATAAAAATCTATAATATTATCAATAGACGCATCAAAGGCATTTATAAAAATCCAACATACTCTAATGATGCAAAAGAACACTCAAAAAACTAGGAAATAAAGGGAAATTTCTCAACAGATAATCAGCATCAATGAAAACATTCATAAATAACATTATACTTACAGAAAAATAGAATGCTTTTTCCATAAGATCTGAAACAAGATAAGAAAACCTACTCTCATTGCTTCTATTCAATATTATAAGAATATTTTAATTCAATTTGCTCATAATGTATTATCTGTTTTATATATTATTTGTTTCTTTTATGCTAAAGTCTTATTAAGAATTTTTGTGACTATATACATAAGAAATGTTGGTCTCTAGTTTTGTTTACCTGTCATATGGCTGATTGACTTTGATATCAGAACAAAGTTGGCCTCATAAAATAAGTTAAGAGAGATATTTTCTTTCTTCTCTTTTCTGGAAGAGTTTACTTCTTTCTTAAATGATTAGTATAATTCACCATTGTCCATGTGTGCCAACGTTTCTGTTTTGCAATGTTTTAAATTACAAATTAAATCTCTGTAATAAATATAGGTGCATTCAGGTTTCCTTTTCACTCTGTTGTGATCTTTGGTATTTGTGTCTTTTAAAAATTTTGTCCAATTAATCTAAATTGTTAAACTTACTGGAAAAAAACTGGCATATGTAATACTTCACAATTATCATTTTAATATGTAAAATACCTAGAAGAATGTAACTTCCCTCATTTTTGTTATTGGAATGTCTTCTCTCTTGTTTATTTCCTAATCGGTGTTACTAAATTTTTTTCTCTTCAATTTTATTTGTGTTTTCAAAAACAAACTTTTAGTTTCATTGATCTTTTTAAATTATCTTTCTGGTTATAATTAACTTATGCTCTTTGTGATTTATTTTCTTCTGCTTACTTTGCATTTACCTTACATTCACATTCTATTTTCTAAAGATGAATCCACAGGCTACGGCTATGAGACTTTTCTAACACTGTATAAGCATTGATTAGATTTCTAATACTGTATAATAAATTACCAGAAAACAAAGCAACTTGAAAACAATAAACATTTCTCATCTGATGGTGTCTGTGGGTCAGGAATGCAGTATTATTTCCTAAAATAGCTGGGCCTGTATTGAGAACTTAGTTTAAGGCTACTCAGAGAGGACATATTTCTAAATAATATCTCTCACATAGTTGTTGGCAGGCTTTAACTTTTTGATGCCTGTTGGCTAGAGACTTCAGAAAGCTGCTGACTTTCCCTAGAACAAGTGATCTGAAAGTGAGAAAGTTCCATGCCAGATAGAAGCTGCAATCTTCTTGCAATCTAATCTCAGACATGACTTAGCATAATTTCTGCCATACCCTATTTGCTAAATCCACCCCACAATCAACAGTAAGGTAAGAAAAGTCTTCCTTTTACAGGGAGGAAGAAATATAAAACAATTCATCCTCTAGCCAAAATCTTAATTTCCTCCCTCTTAAAAAATACATTCCTCCCCTCTCAAGATCCACAGATGTTTAATTCTGCTGTAGAATTTGCTTTAAGTTCAGGATCTTGTCACTTAAATCAGGACCAGTTGTGCATGTCACTCCTTTGCTGTACTTTCTAAAGTTTAGCTCCTGGAGTACAGTTGCTCTCAATCTGTAGACCTGTGGAACTGAAATAAAAAATTACCTGGTTTATACAAACCCAGTAGACAATGGTGGGGCAGGCATAGAGTAACTGCTATAGCCCTGATGTTCAAAAACGGGAAATACAGGAGGTGAAAAGAATGCACTAGCATAAGGATGCCCGCAGCAATTCTGAAATCTAGCCAGGCAAAAGTTGAAAGTTCTGTGGTTAGGTTTCAAATGCTGGGAATGATTTACTAAGGCTCTCAGCTCTGTCCTTTGAGTTGTTGGTTCTACCTCCTGAGTTATCTTTCCTGTATCATTAAAAGGTAGATCTGTTCTTATTTGAGCCCTGTACATGCCAGTAGAATTGGGGAGGGAGTCAGTTCTCTTTTTATTTCAGCTCATTTTTCAATGTCTCTAAGGCCTTTCAGTCCAACTGGTGATGTTTCTGCATAAATAATCTTCTAAAAATCTTTCTAGATCATCTTTGACACACTGAAACCCACTTCATTAGACAAAAGTCATACACATACACTTCTTTAAAATAAGCACTTTTCTATTTACTTATTTGAGTGATACATTTGGGTCTGTGTCCCTGCCCAAGTCTCATGTCATTGTGATTCCCAAGGTTGAAGGTGGGACCGGGTGGGAAGTGACTAGATCAAGGGTGCAGAATTCCCCTTTGGTGCAGTTCTCATGAATGTGTGTGAGTTACCCTGAGATCTGGTGGTTTAAAAGTGTGTAGCACATCCCCCTCTCTCTCTCCCTCCTGCTCCGACCATGCAAGGTGCGCCTGCTTCCCCTTTGCCTAGTGCCATGACTGTACTTTTGTTGAGGCCGCCCCCAAAGCTGAGCAGATGACAAAATTATGCTTCCTGTACAGCCTGCTGAACTGTGAGCCAATTAAACCTCTTTCCTATAAATTACCCAATCTGAGGTATTTCTTTATAGCAGTGTGAGAACAGGCTAATACATTGAGTTTCTGATAAAAAGACTGAGGGAAAACACCTTTAAACTTCCTAAAAGACCTGTTAAGAAGATGTGTGAAGCACACCTTTGCTCTCTCTAAGTAGCATATTATTTGAATGAATAGCACCTTGGTACACTTCCTCTAGTCTTCCTGAGACATTAACAAAAGATTTCACAGTCACACCCTTGGCTTAGCTGTTAGTGCACAAGTTTTTATCTGTTCTCAGAAGTCATTGCTTAATTTTAGTGTATGTTACCTATAGAGACAGAATTCTCAAAATCATCAACTTCATCTCCTTCATGTTCAACGTACTTTCTTATCTCTCTCTTACTGTATTTTATATTAAGCAGAAAGAAGAAACCAGATAGTTTATTGTATTTTGTTACAGCAATCTGAATAAATTAAGACCGAAAACTAGTACCAAGAAGTGGAAATGTTGTAACAAATACGTAAACATGTGGAAGCAGCTTTTGAAACTTAGAAACAGGTAAAAACTAGAAGAGTTTTTAGGTGCATGCTAAAAAAAATAAGCCTACATTGCTGTGAATAGACCACTGAGGGTGATTCTGGAGATGGCTCAGAAGGATAGGCTGAAAGCTACAGAGAAAGCTTCAATCTTCATAGGTAATATCTAAATGGGCATGAATAGAATGTTGGTGTAAATGTGAATGCTAACAGCCATTCTGATGAGATCTCAGGTGGAAATAAAGAACATGCTATTGGACAATGGAGGAAATGCCATTATTGTTATGAAGTAAACAGAAATTGGCTGAATTGTATTTTTTTCTAATGTTTTGTAGAAGGTACAACTTGTATATAACAAATATTTGGCTGAAAATTTTTTGAACAATATATTGAAGCATTGGCCTGCTTCCTCTTTCCTGCTTACAGTAAAATGCCAGAAGAGAGAAGTGATTGAAAGATACAAGGTTTTCATCAAAAGAAGTAAAATATTTAGAAAATTTTCATCCTATCTATAATGGTAAAAATGATAAAATTTTTTGAGAGAGAGAACAAAAGTGTGTCCAAGTGATCATTTGATAAGGAGATTAGTATTGATTTGCTGTCCCAAAGGAAGCTAGGGATCATTTATCAAGATCATGGTGAGATTAGCCAGCCATCTAAACATTGTCTTCATCTAAGCAATGAAAGAATAACCGTATATTGATAATTCTCAGGATGCTGTCTCACCACTGGCTCAGAGTGACAGAGCTTGTGGGGCAGAACAATATCAAAGGAGAGGCCTTGCTGTCCAGCATCATCTCATATTTTGGGATCTATTTTATAGACCCTGTCACCATGCTTCTTGGCTGCCCTAGGAGCAGCTCCAGTGGGCTTCAGTGTAGCATGCGCTGTGCTGAGCCAAGCTGTGGGGTTGTGGCTGCCTCCACTTCGATTTCAAGTGATGTCCTGGTGAGCCACAGGATCCAGGTAGAGAACTGCTGTGAGGGTGATGCCACCACAGAGTCGCTACTCAGGCAATGCCCAGGAGAGTTGTAGAGGAGAGGCTGCTCCAACAAAACAAGATCTGCAGAGCCACGGGCACATGATTCCAGCACAGGAGAGCTCCAGATATGTAATCCAAGCACAGAGCAGTCATGGAGGTGGGGCCTCTGCAGTGAACTGTCATGGGAGCAGGACCCAGGCACAGAGCCACCATCGGATGGGGCTCTCCAATGTCGTGGGGGAAGGGCTGCCACCCAAGTATGTCTGAAAGGCAGGGCTTCTACCCAAGTAGAACTAGAGGAGAGAATATCAAACCAAAGGCAATAATCCTAAGCCTTGAGGTTCTAGACTTGCTTGAGACTTGCTATTCATTTTTTGTACAGTTTCTTGCTTTCCTTATGTTGATGCATTTAAAAAATGGCAAAAAGTGGCAAATACTTTTGCACCAACCTAATAGGAATGTATGTCCTATGCCTGTCCCATCATTGTATTTTGGAAGCACACAACCTGCATGATTTCAGAGGCTCACAGCCGGAGAAGAATTTTACTCAGAACGAATTACATGTTGAGTTTCACCAATAGCTGATTTTGATGATGTTTAGATGAGACTTTAGGCTTTAGTTGATATTGGAACTAGTTTTTTGGGCTACTGTACTGGAATAAATATATTTTCCGTGCAAGAAGAACATTAATTGGGGGGGCCCAAGGTCATAATGCTAAGATCTGAGTATTTGTGTTCCTCCAAAACTCATATGGTGAAATTATAGCCCACAGGGTTATATTACTAGGAAGTGAGGCTTTGGGGAGGTGATTAGGTCACGAAAGTGGAGCTCTCATGAGTGGAATTAGTGGCCTTATAAGAGATTCCAACTGCCTGGCTCCTTCCATCATATGGGAATGTAACAAGAAGGTACCATCTATGACCCAGCAAGCAGGCTTTTACCAGACACCAAATCTGCTTTGATCTTGGATTTCTCAGACACTAAAACTGTGAGAAATGAATTTCTGTTGTATATAAGCTGCCAGATTTAAAGGATTTTTATAACAGCAGCATGAACCGTCTAAGACCCTCACCCCGGCTCTTGCAAACTCTCCAGGAACATGTGTACAACTGTATACCACAGGGCTGAGGATGTGTGGATTGGTAG